TTTCTCACTAATACACAACATCGATTTGCTTAGTAAAAAAATGAGTATTTGTATTACCCATTTACCTGATTATTTTCACAGATCATCAAGTGAGTCGATACTTTTTTTAGGGGAGTGTACATAGTTAAATAAAAAATAAAATAAACATACATGACTTGGCCTTTTATTACTATTTAATCCTTTTCTTGAACATGAATGCTTTCATATACTACACATTCATTACAATATTATTTGATATTGATATTATTATTGAGATAACAAGAAATTGCATCATCTGAATAATAAATAATACAAAGATTATACATGAAGTCGAAATATTTCGACCTGGGAGATCAAAGTTGAATCAAAAGTCGAAATGGTCGACATTACATCATACAACAAGCTGAACATACAGAAATTTAATCAAAAGCTTCAAATCCTCATAACTTGGTCAATATCGAATAAAACAACTATCATTCGAATTCTCTCAATGAGGTGAGTCTAATACTAATGAGATGTAATTCGAATCACTGATCATTGAGTTATTTTGGTCTACAATAATATTACAATAACTCGCCATTTATTGATGTTATGGACATTAAATCACCATTATTCGAATCGTCTTTATGAGACTATTCTAATGAGCCGTGTTTCATTAAATTTGGTTCACTGGTTCTCAAGGTAAATAATTTTGAAATTATTAATTGCGATGAATATGTATTATTGTTTGAATACATTCCTTTTAAAAGGAATAATAAATAAATTGCAATAATGATAATACCAAGACCATACGGAAATGAAATTTAAGGAACCATCCAGTGCGCGCATGTACACTTCCCAATTGCATAAAATCAACGCACCTATCCAATAGAAAAGAGAGAATTGCCAAACCATCGAAATTTTTTGTGCTGCATCAATTTAAATATTTTTTGGGACAAGTGAAAAATTTATTAATTCCGTCTTTTAATTAATTATCAAGTTCTACACCAATTTTTTTATGATAACATAAAATGAGTATTATTGTGTATAAATAATAATAAATGATACCACTATTGTTGTTCTTGCAGTTTTATTGATTTCTCAAGTCCAAATCTACCAACATAATGAATAATCTGAAAAAGTTCAAAAGGAGCAAGAATCACTTTATCATTTAAATCTTTGAGACCATAAATAAATTATAATAAATGTTATAGCTAATATGTTTATACATAAGTAATTACCTTACGAATTTAATTATAATAGTAATAGGGATTATGAAATTCATATCAAAAATCAAATGATCAACGCATGATTTTTTCGGGTGTTACAAGCCACAATAATGTAACATTTGCAATACAGAGTACAAATTTTATATATATCGGCGTTACACGCATTTAATAAAAGTAAATTGCATATGTGAAATTCAAATTGGCCAATCAGAATTTCACCCACTCCATAATATTTCAATTTCACATAATGATACCAGCTGCAACTTTTGATGATGGTTGCTACCACCTTTGCGTCATATAAAAATGATCGCAACCGTCTTTACGACCATTTTGTTTCCTTTTGGATTGCGACATGGAACACTAATTTCACATACAA